TGGACACCCTGTATATATATATATATATATATATAAAGAGAGAGAGAGAGAGAGACAGTTAAAGTTGTCGTAGCTAAGTAAAAAGGAGAGAAAGCAAAGAGGGAATAAAAAGGAGGGAATAATGGAAAAGACCGGATATAAGTAGTAATCTAGTCTGGTACAAGGCTCCAAAAAGGAGACAGTTTGTCCGGACCGAACTCATTGCCATACCCACCAGACTTAGCATCATAGACATTTCTCGGTTGAGCCCTTTGGCACGAGACGGCAAAAGCTGGACAGCCAGTAAGATCTTCTTTACGTGCTATCTTTCATCGAGGCGTAGGCGATCATGGCTCTCCACAATTTCTGTCTTTTATAGCTCTTACTAAGTTTTGTCTTTTTGTTATTTCTCCTAAACCCTGTTCCGCCATTCATTAAGTATATTAAGCGTTGTTTTCCCCCTGTTTCTATTGCTTTCAATCTGTCTTGTGAGCATCAGATTTTCCGAGCCCTCCTTCCTCATTATGTACCTTAGACATTTCAACTCTCTTCCTGATGTTAAGTATAAATTTCCTTTTTTGTTTCCACTTTCTCGAAAACTTCGTCGTTGTTCACGTGTTCGGTCCATGGTATCCTCAGCATCCTTCTGTAGGACCACATTTCTGTTGTTTCAAATCTATCTTTGAGGAGATTGTCCGGCATTCACTGTCATATGGGAGGACAGATATCTCGCAAGCGTTCAGTTCACCTTTCTTTGTTTCTAACGAAACTTTTCTGTCTCAGTTTTTGGAATGCATTTTTGGTCATCCCAATGCGTCATTCAACAAACAAAATAAGATCACTCTAATAATAGCAAATTAATTTTGGAATCTAGTGTCGCGCCATAACAGACACAATCTATAATATTGGCAGTTTCAAAGCTGAGCTAGTTTGACCCAAGGCCACGAAAGCGTGACAGTCATTAAGTTCCTACCCAACCTACGACAGGGAATTGGCTTGCGAGTCGACTTTCTAATCTTCTCTCTTTAGCAAGACCCAACCCGCTTCTTGGAAATTCTTATTACTATTTATTAAGATCATCTTTGTCTGGAACAAGGCCGTATTTGTTGAGTACCCAGTGAGAATACAACGGTTTTGCCAAATAACCCGTGAGACGAGTTTGGTGGCCATTGCATTGTGGCAGGCGTCCTTAACTATTTAGTAAGTTCATCTTAAGCCACGCTAAGTCGTAGTGATAAGGCACCCAGCAGGCATTGGGCTAACGAGGGTAGAGATTTGGTCGGCAAGACAAGCCTGTTAACAATTGCACTCGAGTGGGATCACTACAAATAATAGAGAAAATAAGAGAAAGAGGAATTGAGAGAGAGAGAGAGGGAGAGGGTGAAAGAAGAAAATAGAAAAAAAATGAGTAAAATATACAAAGAAAGCGAAAGAAAGAAAAAAAGAAAAAAGAAGTAAAATATATAACGAAAGAGAGAGAGAGAGAGAAAGAAAGAAGAAAAAAGGAGTAAAATACGTAAAAAAAGCGAGAAAAGGAAAGAAGAAAAAGAAAAACGAGTAAAATATATAAAGAAAGAGAGAAAGAAGAAAAAAGAGTAAAATATATTAAGAAAGAGAGAAAAAGAAAGAAAGGAAAAGGGGTAAAATATATAAAGAAAGAGAGAAAGAAGAAGAGAAAAAATGAGTAAAATATATAAAGAGAGAAGGAAAGAAGAAAAGAAAAACGCGTAATATATATATATATAAAGAAAGAGGAAGAAAGAAGGAAAAGGAGTAAAATCCATAAAGAAAGCGAGAAAAAGAAAGAAGAAAAGAAAAAAAAACGACTAAAATATATAAAGAATGAATATTTGCATTTTCTATCTCTCTCTCTCCCAGAGAGAGAAAGAAAGAGAGAGAGAGAGAGATAGAAATTGAGGAAGAGAACGAAAGAAACAAAGAAAATAATTATTCTATGTAAAGAATATTTGCAGAGAGAAAAAGAGAGAAGAAAATAAAAAAAATAATATATATATATATAATCAGTGAATATTTTCATAGAAAAAGAATGAGGGAGCGATAAATAGATAGATAGATAGATAGATAGATAGATAGATAGATAGATAGATAGATAGATAGAGAGACAGACAGACAGACAGACAGACAGACAGAGAGACAGAGAGACAGAGAGAGAGACAGACAGACAGACAGAGAGAGAGAGAGAGAGACAGACAGAGAGAGAGACAGACAGACAGAGAGAGAGAGACAGACAGACAGACAGAGAGAGACAGACAGACAGAGAGAGGGGAGAGAGAGAGAGACAGAGACAGACAGACAGACAGACAGACAGAGAGAGGGGAGAGAGACAGAGAGAGAGAGACAGACAGACAGACAGACAGAGAGAGGGGGAGAGAGACACAGAGAGAGAGACAGACAGATAGACAGACAGAGAGAGAGAGAGACAGACAGACAGAGAGAGGGGGAGAGAGACAGAGAGAGAGAGAGAGAAGAGACTCGCCAAAATAAAACGAAGTTAATAGACCTGGAAAGAGACGAGATATTAAAAAAAAAAAAAAATTGCAAGGTGTTAATGTGACCGAGAGAAAATTTGATTATCCGAATTCTTGTGAGAAAAAAAAACGGTCAATTGCCAACCAAACGATTACCACAAAAAAGAAAAAAAAAGAAAAAGAAAACGAATAAAGATGAAAAATAAAATGGGTAGTATCGAAAAAAAAAAAATGAAAAAATATGAGCCATTTGCTTAAAAAGAGTTAATGAAAAAAAATCAACAAATTATGGAAGGACAAGAAGACTATTAATTGTGTCGAGCTTACTCAATTGCGACTCCATTTTCTTCTAAGCCTAACGCGACTTCATTACGTTATCGTCATTCTACGTTGTTGGTCCTAATTGGTTTCCGTACAGAGCTTTAGCGGTTTAATTGAAAAGCTGAAAACGTTTTAAAAAGCCTCTTCTGACCGGAGAAGACAAAAGTTGCTTAGTCTCTTAACAAATTTTATTAAAAAGAAAAAAACGTAATTACGGAAGATAATAATAATAATAATAATAATAATAATAATAATAATAATAATAATCCGGTTACAGTCATAGGACCTGTAACAATTCTATGGGACTTTACAATACACACAGACAAGACAATCAAAGCTAATCTCCCAGATATCGTGATCAAAGACCATAAGAACAGAATGTGCTTTCTTATTGACATGGCAGTGTCTGCAGATTGGAATGTATCGTTGAAGAACTTCAAAAAAATATCAAAATACAAGGATCGTGAAGTGGGAATCTCAAAAGTCGGGCACATGAGTACATCAATAATTCCAGTTCGGATAAATTCATTGAAGGGATTCCTGGTAGTTCATGTCTTAAAGAAATACAAATGACTGTACAACCAAGAACAACTCACATATTACGATTAGTTTTATCCTATGTAAAATGTGCCTTTGCTTAGGTTATTCATGGCCTCATGACATTTTCAGTGATCATTTTTGAACAGTGGAAAATGTCATGAGGCCATTCCTGATCCTGGATCACTGGTTGGAACCCGTAAGGAAATGTGTATACAACAGAAAAAAAAAGAAATAATAATAATAATAATAATAATAATACCTCAGTAAGTTCTGAGAAAGGTTCTGTTAGCGTAGAGAAGCAAAGAAATTGTTGGACGCATCTTCATTTGTTATGTCGTTAAATTATGACCATAGATCTGCTTGAGAAAAAAAAACAAAAAAAAAAAACCAGAAAATAATCATTTTTAAAAATCATATCACCCCAAGTAAGGCAATAAAACCACTAAGACGCAGGGGGTTACTGAGTGTGGAAGAACAATAAAAAAAAAAAAAAGTAAAAAAAAACACATTAGGAAGTGAGAAGAATAAAAAAGTTTATCAGGAGGACAGTCGATAGCGATTGACATTACATTTAAATTTCGTAAAGTTGACTGGGAAGCAAAAAGCCGGAAGAGAGTATATATATATAAAAATGACAATAGGAAACTAGTAATTGCTGACGCGTTTCGTCTAATGTGGACTTTATCAAAGCAAAATACGAAAAAAAAAAAAAATAACACAATATATATTTGCCATTTTTTTTTTATCATTTCACCCCAAGCAAGGTAATAAAGCCACTAGGACGCAAGAGGTTACTGAATATGAGAAAAATTACTACTGAAGAGAGAGGACAATAGAAGAATAAGAATTAAGAAGACAGAAGATAACAATTGACGTAGCGTTTAAATTTTTGAACATCAAAATAACTGGAAAGCAAGAAAACGGAAGCGAGTTCCACAAGCGAGAAGTGCGATCGAAGAAACTATTAGCATAGAACTTGCGGTTACATCTAGCCAATTCAACGGTGAATTGATGAGGCCCTGTTGCCAATCTAGTACTGCGCTTAAATTCATAAAATCTACGTACCAAAAGCGAAGAGTTCACCCGAACAGTTACCATGAAAGTATTTATAGAAAAGGCATAGAGAAGCTACATTATGGCAGCGGGAAAGTGACTGAAGCCGAGATGCCTGGTCAGGACCAGTAATAATGCTGATTTTTCTTTGGACTTTATCAAGAACCTCTTAGCAATATTCAAAGCATAAACGAATGGTAGACTTATATATATATATGTAAGATAGATTCTGAAGAGAAAAATTGTTTAGCGCGGTACGATTGAGCTGACCCTGCAACTTTCAATTTAGTCTTTCACTCCATGTCAGCCGAGAATGTTAGATGATTTCTGAGGAGATTAGCATCGGCCATGCTGATGGGAGGCAGGCAGTGATCTTTCAGGTGATTAATAGAGAAGTTTCGCTTTCGGGGCGTTAAAATTAACAAGTCATTTCTTGCCCCAATTAACAAGAAACTGTAGGTCATTTTTTTTAAGATCACCTGCCAGTTTCACTTTATCGAACTGATCAGACTTATTATGAAGTAAGGAGTAAATGGTTGTAATAATAATAATAATAATGATAATAACAATAATAATAATAATAATAATAATAATAATAACAAAATGATATTTTGACTGCAATGTATCTTTGAAGATATTCAAAAGTTGTCAAAATACAAGGACCTTCAAATAGAAATCTCGAAAATGTGGCATATGGAACATCAACAATCCCTGTTGTAGTTGGAGCCCTAGGACTGGTTGGAAAAGATTGCAGTAGACTAATTGAAGGATTCCTGGAAGTCCATGCCTCAAGGAGATACAAAAATTGTTCTGACAAGTACAGCCCACATTTTACGAAGGGCTTTATCTATGTAATTTTTTTTTTTTTTTTCAAAAGTGTTATGACGCCATTTCTAACCTTAGGCCCCTGGGCGAGAAAAGAAATAATAAAACACAAAAATCAAAAAAATAAAAATAACAATAATAATAATAATAATAATAATACATCATCACTCCAGAATTCTGTGTTGTTTGGAACTGCTTCTGAGACCAGTGGCGGTGAGATATTACGTGTTTGTTTTGATGTATTAAATGATACCAGCGAGTCTTTTCCCCAATGAGCTCTGAGAATTAGTTCAGAGGAGAGATCTACTGCCATCCTCTGGTTATCAAGATATCTACGCCCCTACACTGTGTTATCAAATGCATGCAATAACTAGTTTTACCCTTCACGCAGAACTCTTCATTGACAATTCTAGAAAGAAAATTCGGATTATAACACACAAACAGAATGTCTCATATCGAGAATATTCCACATTGAACATGAAGAAAAATTAATTATTTTTAATAATAAATGTAAAAATCTCCACTTTCACCTGAAGACGGTTGAAAGACCAGAGAAACACGTGTCGTGAAATTATGTAAAACAAAGTATAATATTTTTCTCAATAAATCCACATTACAACCAAAAACGTTTGCGGCACCCCTCTTCTTTTAATATACATACTTTTCTCTCGTTGGAACCACTACAAATATTTCTTTTTATATATATATATATATATATATATACTTAGGATCTCAAAGTGTTCTTGCACAGATCGTTGATATAAAGCAGAAAGCAAGTACAAACAAGGAAAGGCCCTGGGGGAACAATTGATTGGTGTTGTTAACATATACGTGTTTGTCATATTATGTCTTTAGAAACATGGAAAAATTCCTGTTCAGTACTCTTAGGAAATTTTATTAAAAAAGAAAAACCATAATTACGAAAATAATAATAATAATAATAATAATAATAATACCGTTCTGGGTAAGATGATAAACTACATTCACTAGCAAGGCCTCTGATCAGGAGGTGTTGAGGAGCGTGGAACAGCCTCTTAATTGCTGGTATTCCCAGGTCCTCCCTGACCCGGGGTGGTAGCACCTGTTACAGTCCCATCTATGGGCAAATAGTTAACCCCCAAACTGGGGTCAAAACATTATGAAAGTGTAAAAATAGGTTTTAATACCAGAAATTCTTTGTCAAAATTATTACCAGCAATAAATTTTTGAAGAAAAATTATTACCAGCAATACATTTTTGAAAAAAACAAAAAACAAACATTATCAGCAATAAATATCTTGTCAGCATTAAATAACCATTGAGGTTGATATACCGTAAAACCAAACAAAACAAAACAAACCCAATAATAAATCATATTTTTTACAATACTGATCAATGGAAAATTGTCATGAAGCCATTTCTGACCTTTGGTCTCTGGTTATGATCCGGAAGGAGATGTGTGTATACCAGAAATCAAAGGAAATAATAATAATAATAATAATAATAATAATAATAATAATAATAATAATATTTTTTTACAAAAATGAACAATGGAAAATGTCATGAAGCCATTTGTGACCTTGGGTCTCTAGTTTGGACCCGGCAGGAAATAGCATATAACAGAAATCAAAGGAAAATAATAATAATAATAATAATAATAATAATAATAATAATAATTTTTTACAAAAAATGAACAAAGGAAAATGTCATGAAGCCATTTGTGACCTTGGGTCTCTGGTTTGGACCCGGCAGGAAATGTGTATATAACAGAAATCAAAGGAAATAATAATAATAATAATAATAATAATAATAATAATAATAATATTTTTTTACAAAAATGAACAATGGAAAATGTCATGAAGCCATTTGTGACCTTGGGTCTCTGGTTTGGGACCCGGCAGGAAATGTGTATATAACAGAAATCAAAGGAAAATAATAATAATAATAATAATAATAATAATAATAATATTTTTACAAAAATGAACAATGGAAAATGTCATGAAGCCATTTGTGACCTTGGGTCTCTGGTTTGGACCCGGCAGGAAATGTGTATAACAAATCAAAGGATAATAATAATAATAATAATAATAATAATAATAATATTTTTACAAAAATGAACAATGGAAAATGTCATTTTTTGGGTCTCTGGTTTGGACCCGCAGGAAATGTTATATAACAGAAATCAAAGGAAATAATAATAATAATAATAATAATAATAATAATAATATTTTTTTAAAAATGAACAATGGAAAATGTCATGAAGCCATTTGACCTTGGGTCTCTAGTTTGGACCCGGCAGGAAATGTATATAATG